TGATTTAACATTTGTTCTTTCCTGCTACCAGAACACAGTAAATACTTTTAGAATCTGACCTCCGTCCGAATAGGTCTCTGAGCCGTATCCATCCTGTAAGCCGTTGCTCCAGGTGCCTTCATAACGGGAACCGCTGCTAGTGCTTTCCAACTTCCCGTACCTGCCTTTGAACCCTTGTGTCCATTCCCCCTTGTACTCCCACCTCCCTTTGCTCTCCACGCCAATGCCATGCCTCTTGCCCTGCGCCCAAGTTCCTTTGTAACTGTTCCCGCTGGGCCAAGTGTAAACTCCAAGAACTTCGAATCCATGGCTCCAGGCTCCCACATACTCCCCCTGGCCGTGGGGCCCCGTGCAGACCCCTCGGCCATGCGCCTTGCCCTGTTCCCACCCTCCACAGTACGACCCCCCATCATCAAAGTCAAACCTGCCTCCAGTGGACATGCATGAAACAGGTTTTGGCAAATCTTTAGAATGTCAAGTGGAAAAATTGCAATTGGTGAGCAAAAAAGGAAGACAGCGATCAACTATACAGGAAGTGTTACAGCAATATTCCTCCCGTCCTTCAAATAGATTTTGAACATATAGAAAAAAACAGTGCTTTTAAGTCCAGATGATTTAAAGGGGTGAAGAAGAATCTACCAGGCTACTGTCCTGGTGTTATAGCTCCTGCCTGTTTGTGCATGGCCTTTGGTAATGGATGTCTTTATTGTGCATGCTACTTCCAACTGGCATGCAGATGGTGAGCTTCTCCCTTCCTCTCTGCACGGTCCCAACAGGCTGAAGCACACAGCCGCGTTCCGCGTTCCCTGCGTGGAGATCAGCAGGCAAACAAGGCCTAGTTTTTTTCCATAGCCAAAGAGATCCACACAGCAGCAGCATTGATACACTCAATCAGACATTACACGGCCCCCAAACGTACCGCTCCGGCTCACAAAAATGCAGAAATGTGGGAGAGCATCCATAGCCTCAAAGCATGGATGGTGTTTACCGTTAACCATTTAACAAGTTTTTACTGTAGCATTTTTACAGTCTTTTACCGTTAAATTCACGGTCATTTTTTACAGTGTAGCTTCTATCAAATGACAGATGAATGTGTGCCAAAATACTGTAGGCTTGATTGGAAGCACAGGCTTTGACATAAACAGAACAACTTCCCAAAGATACGGGAAGCATTTTAAAGGCAGATAGGCCTATTCATTTAACATGGTTAGTGATTTAACATTTGTTCTTTCCTGCTACCAGAACACAGTAAATACTTTTAGAATCTGACCTCCGTCCGAATAGGTCTCTGAGCCGTATCCATCCTGTAAGCCGTTGCTCCAGGTGCCTTCATAACGGGAACCGCTGCTAGTGCTTTCCAACTTCCCGTACCTGCCTTTGAACCCTTGTGTCCATTCCCCCTTGTACTCCCACCTCCCTTTGCTCTCCACGCCAATGCCATGCCTCTTGCCCTGCGCCCAAGTTCCTTTGTAACTGTTCCCGCTGGGCCAAGTGTAAACTCCAAGAACTTCGAATCCATGGCTCCAGGCGCCCGCATACTCCCCCTGGCCCTGGGGCCCCGTGCAGACCCCTCGGCCATGCGCCTTGCCCTGTTCCCACCCTCCACAGTACGACCCCCCATCATCAAAGTCAAACCTGCCTCCAGTGGACATGCATGAAACAGGTTTTGGCAAATCTTTAGAATGTCAAGTGGAAAAATTGCAATTGGTGAGCAAAAAAGGAAGACAGCGATCAACTATACAGGAAGTGTTACAGCAATATTCCTCCCGTCCTTCAAATAGATTTTGAACATATAGAAAAAAACAGTGCTTTTAAGTCCAGATGATTTAAAGGGGTGAAGAAGAATCTACCAGGCTACTGTCCTGGTGTTATAGCTCCTGCCTGTTTGTGCATGGCCTTTGGTAATGGATGTCTTTATTGTGCATGCTACTTCCAACTGGCATGCAGATGGTGAGCTTCTCCCTTCCTCTCTGCACGGTCCCAACAGGCTGAAGCACACAGCCGCGTTCCGCGTTCCCTGCGTGGAGATCAGCAGGCAAACAAGGCCTAGTTTTTTTCCATAGCCAAAGAGATCCACACAGCAGCAGCATTGATACACTCAATCAGACATTACACGGCCCCCAAACGTACCGCTCCGGCTCACAAAAATGCAGAAATGTGGGAGAGCATCCATAGCCTCAAAGCATGGATGGTGTTTAGGCCTCCCTCTAGATCATGTTTTCCAAATAAAATGACAGTATTTCCTTGCTTATGTGTTAAATGAGATCAATCATTTTTCCTAATGCTGCTCCCTCTTTTCCCTTCTGCGCTGCTGCTCTGGTGTAGAGATGAAGCTTCTTTCCTGGAAGACTGGTTAAAAGCATCAAAAATCGGTTTAGTCTTGCTCTTTAGTCCTCTCCTTCTTCATGTTTACGTGCATATTTAAAGGTGGGTATCCATGATGGTCTGAAGCCATATGATGCTGAGTGTCTCTAGAATATGCTCATTACAGGACTGTTCCACCCCAACCCATTCCCCTCCCCCACTCATGCTCTCCTTGTTGTTCTTAAAGGGATAGAGGCTAAGAAAGTCATATGCATACAGTGGCTTCCCTAATTACCCATTTCCCTTATGATACCCTCTAATTATATCTGCATAACAGCATCATGTTATTTGCTTCTCAGGGCTTCAAGAAACATTAGATAAGAAATGCAAATATATTATATACTCAATTTAAAGTTCAATAACCAGTGAAATGCTAATTGCATAAATAGATTCTTTTGAAACTTGCTCAACACACATAATCAAGTTAAAGTGAACCTAAAGCAAGTGTACTATTTTAATTTTTATTTATACATATCTTATATTTAATATAAAACAACTGAAAAGCTGGATGAACCGCTAATAACTGACATGCACATTTTTTAAAGTGCATGTTGTGACTTTATTTACTGGTATTAATGCATTCTGTAGAAATGCATGAAAGATAAATTATTTTATACATGACTTCTTTTCTGTTTTCGATGATACATCCACCTTCATCAGAGAGAAAAAAAAAGATGAGACGTATTCTTGCATCAGTTTTTAAATGTATGCTCATGGGAACAAATGTTTAAAGGCCCTCCTTCTTTAAAGGTTATACGATATGCACATGCCTAAACAGCACTAAAAATCAGATACTGAGCTAAGATCAATATTCATTAAACAGCCTCTAAAATTCCATTTTGGGACCTGCCTGAATGCTGTTCTTCACTGGCAGTGTATGCGAGCATGATGAGCGCTGTTTGCGTTTAGAAAAATATCTGATTATTTGACACTGGCCTTTTAGTTAATGTATTTTTGCCCCACTTGTCTTCTGTATACTATGACTGGGAGAGCTTTCAGATGGATGAGTCCTTAAAACAGCCAGTAACTGAAACTTTGATATACAAAACAGTGTTTGAAAATATTTCACATGAAGATGGATGCAAAGGGCTTGGTAATAAAATCTTATTTTTGTTGTTAGAAATTGAAAAAATATCATTATGTAGCTTGGTCATTTATTTTGTTTGATACATTCACCATTTGGTAGTAGTTTGTTAAGCCTACTGCTTTTGGAGCAACATTGCTAACGATATAATAATGAATTAGATCCAAGAACACATTTTCGCCACTGGCAAGTAACAGCTGTGCTTCCTCACCTTAAAAAATGAAAACAGCCTCACTGGTTCATTGTATTCCAATGGCGCCTAGTTGCAGGGGCCAGATGTATAAAATAAAAATGGGCACTGAAAGGTGCATATAGGATTTCTGAATTCAGGTTTATTTAGGTGTAATAAGTGAAATGTAAAGGAAATGCATGTTTGACTGTTCTGTAAAAAAGTTCTGTAAGAGCTGATGTCATTTACAGAAAAAAAATATGATACCTCATTTTTAAAACAACTAGTAAAATCACTTATTTTCCTACGTTAATTGAAACACTGACCATCCAGCTCATTATGACTAAAATCTTTACATAAATAAATTATTTAAAGTCAGTCTTGGTTTGTAATCCATATGCAAAAAAAGCAAAGACAAGGCAAACAAATCCAAAACCCTTATCAAAAGACATTATCAAAATTAATAGTTGACCCAAACTGAAAATTGTCATCATCTATTCACCCTCATGTTGTTCCAAACCTGTATGACTTGTGGAACACAAAAGAACACAAACTGTTTTGTTCACCTGGCCGTTGACTTCCATTGTATGGACAAATAACACAATGACATTATTTGAAGGATATGAGGGTGAATAAATGATTAAAGAATTTTCATTTTTTTAGGTGAACTATCCCTTTAAGCAATGAAACTCTGCAGTTGCTCCATCTGGTGTTGTAAAATGGGACTTACAGGCTCCAGTTGCAAAGTGATACACCAGTACAGTGCAGGTTTCTTATCAGACTACCTAGGCACAGCTTTTGATTCTGCCATCAAGTGTACCTCAGCCATGCTGTACAGAATGTTAATACAATATTGAAAATCTTCATTGAAACTATTTGTTCTCTGCTCTCAGTACGTTTTGTGGTTTTGAGGCTACTGGGGGTTGGGAAAAATAATCAAATATTTATCACAGTTCTCTCAATAACGATACCAGATACCACAGACAGAAAATACTGAAAAAATAATAATAAAAGGTCCTTCTACTTAAAAGGTCGAAAATAAAGGCACAGCCCATCATACATTTCAAGGATTGTCTTTTATTTAGACAATTATATACATTTACAAAAATGAATTGCTCAGAAAGATTTTATGAACTCACAAGATTTTAATGTGAATCAATGGAACAAATCTTTCACTGCACTAATTCTTCGTGTACAGCATGTCATTAGCTTGAAGTTATCATTCTCCAAATCAGTCTCACATACGCTAACTATTTACTGATGGTGATACACACAATAAATGAATATTTGGCATGACACGTCAACTTTTCTTTTTTAAAAATGAATTAAAAATAAAAAATGAATTTTATTATTTGAAAAAAATGAATGTTCATCACAATTTTTTTTTCCACGTGATTTGACTTTGCAGATTAATGTGTTAAATGGCATACAGGCTAAATGAAAATGCTAATTCACTGACATTAGGTGGTATTGAAGCAGAAACGAAGTTTTGAAACAGTATTTCAGTCTTTTGTATTCACTATAGTTTTATCAAACAAAACCAAAACAAGTGTACAGAGACAAGAGAGCTAGTTCCGGATTCTTTCTCTGCTATTTACTACCATTTAGCAAAATAGTCTTTTTGTAAGTGGCACCAATAGTAGTTTTATGTAACAGCAGTGGCTCTGGGCATGTGACCAAAAGTGCAGTTCTTAATGGTTGGCCAGTTTTCTTCGCAGTGCAATGGAAAACAGATTACAACACCTGTTCTCAAAAAATGTTGCATGTACTGCATGCTTATGTTCATCTCGGTCTAAACAGACACATTAAGTGCATTCAAATTAAAATGTTTATCACACTGAACAGTCTTTGTGTGAACAGGCCTTATTCCTACTATTGTTGGACAGATTCTATCATCGGGTTCTTTTGAATTTCACACAATGCGTTTGGAACTGAAGCCTGAAGGTTGGACGCTGTGTTCACTTTTGGACAGTGCTTTTCTACATGAGGCTATGTGATTGTCTAAAACTCCTCCCACATGAAAGGCGGTGGTACGGCTTCTCTCCAGTGTGCACTCTTTCATGTTTTATCAGGTTTCTAGACTCAGTGAAACCTTTTCCACAATGTGAGCACTTCAAAAGGTTTTTCTCCAGTACGGATACTTTTGTGCCTCTCCAAGTCTCTGGCTGTCACGAAGGAATTTCCACATTCAGAGCAAACATGAGACTTCACACTGCTATGTATTTTCTGGTGCTGTTTAAAATAGTCAAGAAATAGAAAACTCTTCCCACAAACAGAGCACAAATAAGGCTGCTCGTTTGAATGCATCCTCACGTGTCTTCTCAGCAATGACTTCAAAACAAATTTTTGACCACACTGTTTTCTCTAGAGTGAAACTGCAGGTGAAATTTGAGGCTTTGCGTCTGAGTGAAACCTTTACCACACAAATGGCATGAGAAAGGCCTCTCACCTGTGTGAATTCTTATGTGATGCTTCAAATGTCCTCGTTGTGTGAAGCTCTTCCCACACTGAGGACATGTGAACAGCTTCTCTCCAGTGTGAGCTCCTATGTGTTCCTTAAGGTGTCCTTTACACGTGTAAGTCTTTCCACACTGCGGACAAGTGAAAGGCCTCTCTCTGGTGTGAATTTTAATGTGAACATTAAGGTTTCCTTTACTCATGAAACCCTTTCCACACTGAGGGCATGTGAATGGCCTCTCACCAGTCTGAGTTATTTTATGATCCCTAAGGTGGCCTTTTTGAGTAAAAGTCTTTTCACACTGAGGGCACTTGTAAGGCCTTTCACCAGTATGAATTCTTATGTGATACTTCAGGTGTCCTTTTTTGTGTGAAAAAGTCTTTCCACCATGGTGGCATGCAAAATATTTTTTGGCTTCTGTGCTTTCATGTGAGAAACCCTCTGAAGTGTGTGAACCACTAAAAGAGTTTTCTCCAGTTACAGAATTGGGATCTTCCTGATTCTCCTCCTTTTTATATTGTGCTTGACATTCCTTGTTCGATTCCATCAGTTCTAAAATAAACATAGTAACATATCAAAAAGAAATTCAAGAGGAACCAATTTTAAATTAAAGAACATTTAAAGGGCAAATTTCGTAAACTGAAAGTAATTACTGAACAATCATAAATGAACACCAACCTCTTTGTTCTTCAGCCTCTTCATCATTCAACTTGCAGGATTCAGCATCACTGACGTCTTCACTCTCTTCAACTAAATCCATCTTTACCACAGCGTCATGCAGAAATTGTTATTACACCACACTTGATTCCTGCTGGCTTGAACCACAGTGGCCTCTTGATGGAAATACTTCCAGCATTTATTGGTGATTTGCTGTGGGAGTGACTTCACTGAAGACTGTGTTGTATGATTTTCTATGTGGCATGGTGGACTATAGGACCAAACCTGTGAAAATAAACAACCAAATCCTTTTTTATACTGCCAGCTGTTAATACACAGCAGGATGACAATTAAATAAATCCCATGTCGGATTCATGGGCTAAAAGACAAGGCATATGCAGGTGTACCATGCACTTACCAATTTCAAAGTCCACATGGCATACAGATAGCTGCCACATATACTTGGACACATAGACTGAGAGAACAAGCAGATCAGACGTGTCAGTGGCTAGTGGCACATCATGTTCCCTCAGTGAGAAAAACAACACTGCATGATTTCTTATGATGTGAACAGATCTACTTCAACTCTTCCTAATCTCTCCAAGATCTGTTGCAATATCTGTGTGTGGATTCTCTTTTTGACACTCCAGGGGTAGGACAGGACACTTTTAGAGTTTAAGAGGACTTTTAATGTTTTCTCTAATCTGTTCCTGGCCCAGAATTCTCAGCATTCTTAGCTAACACCTGCTGGAAAAACACCTGTAGTGATGTGGTGATGGTTTTATAATATAGTTCAGCATTTTTCTACAAACCTAACTGTTGGCAAGGTATATTATGCTCAAGAACATTATTATAACTACATCATATCAGTATATTGCTTTTTATATTAAGGCATATTAAGGTAAACCACTCTCAACACTTTCTGTTGGTTTTCTGTTTTGCGTCATGGGATGTATACTTTCTGAAAAGCAAAAACCAAAAAAAATAAAATTCTAAAAACTGGACTAACTGATCATTCACCATAATGCACACGCTCCAGTGTTTGCACACAGTATCACGGCATCACCCAGGTAACAACTGATGTATTTGTTTCATACATTCTTATTCTGACTTCGCAACACCACAGTAGAAGAAAAAAACACGAGAGTACCATGTGGACAAAAATTCAACTTGACCATTTTATCATGAATACCAATATACATTTTATAAATGGTATTATACTTAAATTTGTTATTCATGTGGGTTTAATCATGAACAGGCTGTACTTATTGTAGAACACTAAGTGCCTGTTTCCACCTGGTTTTAAGATGCTTTTTGGTGATCAGATTACAACTGGTCAACGCTAAATACAAGTTAAAGGGATCTAAAACATTTTGTGGTCAGATCACTGAAAGCACATACAGAGGTAGTCATAAACGCATGACACCACACTGCATTTTTGTAGTGGAAAGAATATCTGTCCTGAATTCATCCTAAACTGCAGTGATGCACTACCTATTCACTGCCCACCCACCTAAAAACCATCAAGGGGGACGTGTTGTGAGAAAGCGCACCAAAAAAAGTGATTAGAAGTTTTCTGCAATGCAAATTATGGTGGAAATTGCAGCCACCCTCCTTATTCCTTTTATTATTATTTTTCCCCTCTCACTTGTAAGCTGCATAACATGGATTCATTCATTTAATTATTTGCGCACTGCACTCAGCTCTCCAACAAAAGTGATGACAAGAGTATGATAAAATAAGAGGGAAGTGTCTTTGCCTCTTCTTGAAATACTGCTTCCTAGTAAGGCGGCATACTTCGGCTGCCATGTCATCAAGTGCCACTGAAGGCTGTCTCAATTTGAAGGATACTTGGAAGGCAGCCTACGTTTCATGTCCTTCATTTGACGAATTTTGAAGGGTGCATCAAGTGTATCCTTCACGTCTTCCAATCAGCCACAGTCCTTTGCACACATTCCAATTAACAAAAGAGAAATGGCTGGAAATGAGTCGGTACGGGGCTCGTTCAATTTCATTTCATTCATGAAATACAAAACAAACATCTTTTTGGATTTGTAGGCATTATGTTTTGTGGTAAATTAATCACATAATGCTAAACTACCCTTGATGTAAACCACTGGGAGACCACAGATTGTCATTTACTGTATAGTACTGAAAAGAAAGTCAGATAATATGAAGACTTTTAATATAAAGTTTTTTTTTTCTAAAATATTTTAATAGTATTTTTGTGTTTTTACCATGGAAGACGGAAACCTTAATGATGTTGCCATGCAGACTTAATAGATGGTTTCATTAAAGACCTTAATGCTGAAGAGGATTCTAACCTAGAATCCTCAGAAGGACTGGTCTGGGAAAGACACATACTCACTAGGAGTCCACTTGTGATTGGATCACTGAAAATGCATTTCAAACCAGTTGGGAACAGGGCTTAATAGGTTAAAAGTCCATACTCATGCACCATGCCATAGGTTCTCTTGTATGTGTAAATGAACATGGTGCACCAGTCTAAAGAATTGATTGCAGTCTGAGATTGTAATAGAAAACCGATTATAAAATTTAGACTGTTTCTTAATTTAATAAGATGACTCATATGGACTACTTTTATAGCACATAGTCTTTTTTTCAAGCTTGACAGCCTGCAGTTGAAAACTGACATTTTATAGAATGAACTTTCAAAATGCAATGCAAAGTAAATATCTCTGCTTCTAATGTGCCAAAGTCCTTTACTATTATATAAATGTTTGAGCTACTTAAAAAACGAAACAAATATTAGAACTGCACATACAGCAATATTACTTCCACGTTCATTTAACATTACTAACACAAGACGGCGTCGTAAAATTGCTATGTTGATGGAGCACATTTGTAAAATAAATAAATAAATAAAACAAAAATAAACCACGTTAAAATGTTTTCTATCGATTTATGCACCTAAAATCACTGAAAAATACTCACCTCGTTTACTTCCAGTGTTGCCAACTAATTTTCAGGGGAAGTTGCTAAAGGAAGGTCGATTTGTTGCTAAAAGTTGCTAAATGACGTTGTGATGTCATTGCGCGATGACGTCATTACGTAATCACGACGCAAAATTTTGTCACTACATCAAATCTCAGCAAAAAGATATTTTTTTTATGTTAATTTAAATTTGTTCGTAAAATACTATAAATGCATAATATAATGTTAAAATATAAATAACTATTTTTATATACAACATTGAACACTTTTGAACGATTACAAGTTTTTTTTATTAGCTAGTAAACTACTAAAACTACACATTCTGAACAATTATAGTTTTAAGCAGTGTATTAGTAGTCAGTATGCTACACTCTAAGAAAAGAAATCACAGGTATTTTGTGTTTTCCGGTTACAGGGTTACAACGGATAACGGATAACGGATAACGGATAACGGTTAACGGATAAACTGATAATGGATAACGGATAACGGATAATTGATAATGGATAACGGATAACTGATAACGGATAATGGATAATTGATAATGGATAACGGATAATGGATAATAGATAATTGATAATGGATAATGGATAACTGATAATGGATAACGGATAATGGATAATTGATAATGGATAATGGATAACTGATAATGGATAACGGATAACGGATAATTGATAATGGATAACGGATAACTGATAACGGATAACGGATAACTGATAACGGATAACGGATAATGGATAATGGATAACTGATAATGGATAACGGATAACGGATAATTGATAATGGATAACGGATAACTGATAACGGATAACGGATAACTGATAACGGATAACGGATAATGGATAATGGATAACTGATAATGGATAACGGATAACGGATAATTGATCATGGATAACGGATAACTGATAACGGATAATGGATAATTGATAATGGATAACTGATAATGGATAATGGATAATAGATAATTGATAATGGATAATGGATAACTGATAATGGATAACGGATAACGGATAATTGATAATGGATAACGGATAATGTCCTGGAAAATTACTAGTACCTTTGCCATTTTTCTAGATATTTTTCTTACAGTGTAACTGATCAACAATCACATGTACAAGCTACTAACAAGGTGTATCATAAATGAACAATTATTAAATTATTATTGTTATTATCAAATTGAACAACTGCAAACAGCAATAACTTAATTCATGTGATGTATGTACTTAGGCATCTTTGGTTTCCTCTTTTTGTGAAATTTAGATGGAAAATGTGTGCCTTTTTATTGTTTGAGTCACTTATCAAAAGTTGCTAAAAGTAGCCAAATAAAATTGAAAAATAACTACATTTGTTGCTAGGTGCTTTTGGAAGAAAAAGTTGCTAGGGTAGTCTCAAAAGTTGCTAAATTTTGCAACACAATTGCTAAGTTGGCAACACTGTTTACTTCCTCGGACTGATAAACAGTCCGCGGCGCATCCGTAGTGACGTCACTGCGCGATTAAAAAAAGCAAAATTAAAGTCTGGCTTTTATTTAGCTTATAGACAAAATCATAAAATACATAAGAAATAGTTAAAGTGCCAAAGGGGGTATGTTTTGTTGAAATAAAAATATTTAACTATGAGAATATGGAATCTACCGATGAAAGTTTGACATCTAGTATCCTAGATTATAACTGTTACCTGCTTTTCACGATGCACCGCAGAATAGATCTCCTGTATCTCAGTTCATGACCTAACCTTACCTAAGCTACCCATACTAGCTTTAGCTTACAAATATATGTGCATACACACTGCACATCGAAGATAACGAAAAATTAAAGATATTTAATTTATATTTGTACTAATTATTGACTATTTATTTAGTTGAACAAGAATGAACAAGCTGTCACCAGAAACGCTCCATTCGCGACAGCCAATCGTAAGTACTGTAGTAAGTACGCATCTAAAGCTTAAACTAAAATCAGTTATACATAAAGCGTATTTAAAAGCCTGTAATAACCATAATATAGTCATGTTGTATGGATACAGTATATTTCAGTGCATACATAGGTGAGAATGAATAGACAAATTGCGGCATATCATTGTCATATAATTTGGTGGAAAATCCATATGTCTGTTACGGTAATAACTGCGTCACCAGTCTGCCTCTTGTTGTTCCTGCATGTTTTTATTTACTACAGCAAATTCGCTGAAATAATGTATGCCTTTTGACAAAGTAGGAGTCCAGCCAGAGTCCATTATGCTGTACTTAAAAACGGGTCTAAATGTGTGCAGATGCAGTTTTACAGAGAAATCCTTATGGAGAAGAGGACTGTCTACTACTGAATGTATCTTCTTGTTATTGAAATAGTCATTATGTTTCTGCTGTAGCTACTTTATGTTACAAAAGTCAGTGTCGTGGTATACACACTTATTTGTACACTAATGATGAATTACTGTTTCTGCGCTGAAAATAATATTTGTCGTAGTCTTGTTTTCGAGTTAAAGTATCCAAACAGCCTTAAAACAATAATAATGTACATTTACTAGAGACGCAAAGCGTCCTAAAAATGCATGTCATTTTTTTATGTTTGCAAA